ATTTAAAGGGAGAAACATGCTTTGCGAGCGTGTCAGTTCAGTAATAAGGAAGTGCCCTGGTTTAACGGGAAACTTTGCTGTGTGTTTGGTTTCCCTTTCTAGGCAGAGTGTGACGTCTTAAAGGGGTTTCCGTCACTGTCTGTTATCTCCGCCTATTGAGGTGGAAACTGATATTTAGCCCTGGGAAAGTTATTTGGAAAAAACCTTCTGTGTGCAGTGAGCAAGCACAAAGACTTGTTTATGAGAAAGAGGAAAAGAAAAGCTAAAGTCTTGAAAGCACAAGTTACATAAACAGATTTGATACAATGTTGGTCTCCAGATTAAGGTAATTCATGACTGGTTCATCCAGTAGATCATAATAAATATTTAGTTTCAGAGGCTTGCTTGTGAAATAGGAGTACATGTAAAAAAAAATCTAACATCATTCTCCCCTGTTATTTGGGGAGTTTTCATAAACAAATATGCAAGCAGAGGGGTAGCTGTACAGTGATTCAACTGACAGCAGACTTCTTTGAAATGAAGCCGCAGCAGCGCTCAAGGAAAGAGAGCACGTGTGCTGCATGTAAACACTGCAATAAGGAAGTGCTGCAGTCCTGCTGACATGAGCTGACACACACTCAACTGTGTATTGACTTCTGCTGGCTTATCTGAGTGCTCTTAAAGATATGGCCATTGCACAGGTGCTTCATCAACACAACAGTATAGCAGTCAATATGCATTGTTGAAGTGCAGAATATATATTATATATGTGTATATAAGTGTAGTGTATATATTCAGCAGCCATCACTGTAAAAAAATCTATTCAGTTTACGGTAAAATAACAGCAGCTGTGATTGCCAGAAATGTATCGTATAAAATACGGTAGCAAGACTTTATGGTAACAAGGTTTTACAGACTTAACTTAAAATTTACAGAAATAAATTGTATTTATTATCTGATATAATGTTAAATTATCAACCAATTGAAGTATTAATATCTGATGTTATACACTGATATTTAACAATCACTGCAGTGATGAGAGTCACATGGAAGCTATTCACATGAAGCTCTACCACAAGAAACTTAATATAAATATATGGAAAGTGCAGAGTGTCATTCGCTCAAACATCATGGTAACACACATGAAATTTTAAAAAGGCAATAAACATTCATTTAACAACATTACATGTCACATAAGATTAGAAAAAGACCAAGCAAACTATGAAGAAACAAGTTATTTCAACAAAAAAATACATCAAATGTCACACAGGGAATTGTGGGAATGTCAATTTACGTTTTTTTTCCCGCTGTAAATTATACAATGAGTTGTTCATTTTCACTTTAAAAACGTACCATTAGATCTATTACAGTTATTTACCGTATATAGTAAGGTTCTGTTAACCAATTAACATTTTTTCACTGTAGCATTTTTTATAGCATTTTTACAGTCTTTTACTGTTAAAATCATGATCAACGTGATCTTCATATCAACGTTTGTGCTGTTAATATTTTCGTGGAAGCCATGAATATTTTATTGATGAATATAAAATTCAAAATAACAGCATCTATTTGAAATAGAAAGCGGTTGTAACAATGTAAAAGTCTTTACTTTCACTTTTAACCATTTAACTGCATCACTGCTACTGACCCCAAACATTTGTACGGTAGAGTGAGTTATTGAATTTGAGTTTACATTTTGCCCCAATTATTGCTCATTATATGTTAAATGTAGACTTAAATACAAAAATATATATGTTTTGCACATTACACTTATTGCATTTCAAACTGGAATCTCGCATGTGTGTATCAAAATATACAAGGCTGGATTGTTGATTGATGTTACAAAAACTATAGAGAACAGAGACCATCTGACCACACACTGAGAGTATAGGCTTGTACTCTGTTGTTTTTAGTGAGATGTTGAACATTGATGAATGATCAGCGAGGAGATCAGACTCCGTCGTGAAACTACAAAGCTTTTTAACGCTGGTAGGGGGGGTCGGTCAGAGTCAGACGCTTTCTGGGATCTACGGCCATTTTAATCCACTTGTCACTCATCATTAACCTTTGCAGCTTTAAATTCATGACCCTCTGTTCACTTTCTACTGTGTTCCTGTGTGGAGATGGGGGCTGCGGCGTGAAAGAGGTTTGTCTGAAGCATTAAGCTATGAGAAATGAACCTGCCATTTGGTTCCTAATCATTCAAATGAACGTGCTTTCTGTTTTTTTGCGTGCCACAACTTGTTACATCCCCTAACCTGTATTAAACTCACAAGAGTCTAGTTTCTTAATATAAGCCGACATCTTTCCCGCTCTAATCAGCAAATCATTATTGACTCAGTTTATAACAAACGGCAAATCAATGTAAGCAATAGTAAATAAAATCCCTCCAGGACAGGCATTAGTTTACAGCCTCGCAATGTTGCTAAGCAAACAAAGCTAGTCGAGTGTTTTTTTTCTCTCTCTTTTTTTCTCCTTCTCAGCTGCCAAAGACATGCACAGAGAGTCTGTGGAGGAGAAAAACACACATACACATTGAGGGCAGGGTCAGTATAATGAGTGCTTGTTGGGACTGAAAGGGACTATTGGAAACAGTGAGTATCTAGTCATGGTGCAGATGCAACCCAGAAAATACCAGCACAAGAATTGTTATCAGTGAACACCTGGTATTTTAAAGTTTACAAATATAAAAAGTTTTTTTATTGTCACTAATTAAATCAATAGTATAAAGCACTCACATTGGGTTGTACACATAAAAGATGCCAATACACTGATTTAACTCTTTCAATGTCTGAGATTTAAAGTTCTAATGTGAAATACTAACAAACAGTTCTTTGTCTTTGAACCCCGTGACAGAGTTCCGGAGGGAAAATAGGCTTCACGTTTCTGAGCTTGTCTTTAGAGAGAGAGAGAGAGAGAGAGAGAGAGAGACGGAGAAAACAAGTAAACTCTCCTTTAATGGGCATCTGATGATGTCATATCACTGGCTGGATCCGTGTGTCTCTGAGTGAGGCAGAAGCTCTGTGTAATAATTGGTTGGCGGTGAGTTTGGGGGAAGGGTGTCTCCGCTCTCCTCCGCCTGCAGATTAACCCCTGTGTCTAACTCAGCTTTGGCTTCTCTGAGTCGGGTGTCTTTTTAATCTCCAATTTATATGCTTAATTAATCAAAAGAGTAACAGTTTTGCTTATATAAAGCTTATTTTATAAGCTTGTGTTTAAGACTTTTAGATTAGACATGTGCTACTGCTAGTGACCCGTCGAATTTGCGGCTCACCTGTGAAAATTCTGCAAAAGTTGTTTTAAAAATGATGTGTATAATACGCTTTTTTGTATTCTGCTGCCAGCACACATCTTGTTGCTATACTGGTGAGAATACAGGAAGACTGTAGGGTAATAATTGGCGTCCTACTAAATAGCAGATCCAGAAGTGCAGTATCAGCTCTAGTCTCAGTCACAGGTGACCAGCTGTCCAGCTTTGTTTCTCCTCAGCCCTTAGGGACAGCTGGGGCCATCAATCTGTTCCCAAAAAAACCTGCACTTCACCCTGACTCCTGACTACCCCTCTCTTTCTCAACATTCTCTTAAAGGATTTGTCCTGAGAATCTTTCACTGTTTTTCCACTGGATGTGCAAACTCATTTTTAAAGGCATTTCTGAGATATTTCATATTTAAACTGACTTAAAGGGGTAGTTCACCCCAAAAAATGAAAGTTCTGACTGACTTTATTCTGTGGAACACAAAAGGTCGACTTTTTAAATATCCTTTCCACTTTAGTGTCAATAAAAAATATTAAAAACTAGATATGTTGAGCTTTTAAATATATTCAAAGGCTTTTATTCAAAGCAACTTACATTGGATTCAAGGTACACATTTTTATCATTTGTTGCTTTCCCTGCAGATTCGAACCCATACTTTTGTTTTGCTAGCGATACAGTGCTTTACACTGTAAAAAAATATTTTCAAGATTTGTTATCATAACATTTTTTCTTTTGTCAAATCAACTTAAATAATTAATTTAGTTGAGATAACATATTATTTTTTATAAGTTTCTGATGATTAAATTAATCTCCTTCATTGTATTAACTCAATTTTTCGAGTTCAATCAACTTAAAATTTTAAGGCAACCAGTACTTACTTTTTTAAGTTAAACCAACAATATTTTTTTTTACAGTGTATTGTTTGAGCTATACTGTAAAAAAAATATTGTTGGTTTAACTTAAAAAAATAAGTAACCTAGTTGCCTTAAATTTTTAAGTTGATTGAAATGGAAAAAGTGAGTTAATACAATGAAGGAGATTGATTAATCATCAGAAACTCAAAATAATGAGTTATCTGATGAACTAAATACATTAAGTTGATTTGACAAAAGAAAAAATGTTATGATAACAAATCTTGAAAATATAGTTTTTTACAGTGTATAGATGAAAAAGCACCATAGTCATATGACTCATGTACTATATTTCAAGTCATGTGAAGAGATACTGTTGCTTTGGACAAACTGATATTGAAGTCATTATTCACTGTGATTATCAACCCTTCCACTGGGCTGGAACTGTTGCAGACAAATCATTGAATCAATGAGAAATGGTTCAGTCTGATTGATGAACAAATCATTTACAATGGGTTCATGAACTGAAATAGATTCACAAAAAACCTCAGACTCAATTTGTTCAATAATGATCAGATATTGTTACTTCTCTTATGAACATGCCAGAAGAACTAGGGGATTTTCAAGATTTTAGTGCACTTGTCATTTTTATGATTTTATGAAAAATGATGCCTTGACAAAAGGGGAAATTCTTTTAAAAAAAAAATCCAGTTTGGAACAACATGGAGTTGAATTGTCATATGGGTGAACTTTCCCTTTAAAACCTGAATGTGAGACTTCAGTATACACTTGTTTTCTAACGTATGCTAACTAAGGAATATGAGGCCAGCTCAGTAATGTGTGATATACGAGTCGGTTCATGTGAGGTGCTCACATGAACACGTGCAGCAATGGCTTTTTTCCCTCTCCGCAGATGGTAAGCATTGAGGGCCATTATTGTTCTCGATGTGGGGCGTCCTCTGCGGTAAAGTCTCTGGCACACTTTTAAAGACATGGTGGGTAATATATGCAGGCCTGAGCCAGTGGCCCTGGCAAAAGCATTCCCCTCCCCCTCCCGAGACTTCTTTTCTTGGAAGAGAAGACAAACATTTGTGAGTATCAGTGTTCATCCCCACAACATTTTCCACTTTTGGAATTTGTGATGAGTTCTTTCATGTTCTGATCTTTTATCAATATTATTGCATGTAACAATCATGTCTTAATGTTGGAAGCACACTGAGTTTCTGTTACTTTCTTTAAGCTTTTCAGCAAGACCTCAACAAAAGACAACCTATGTCTTTAACTAACAGATAAGTGGTTTTGTTGGCGAGAGTTGAATTGAGAAGTGACAAAGTACCAAAAGTCTGACTAAGATACGCCTGGCCTGAACAGTGTCTAAAACATGTAGGCGACAGCCAAGTTAGTCAGGAAGAGACTATCTACATTCCAGACACTTTAACACACACTTCTTATGGTTTTGTTGTCTTAACACGTGCAAAAAGTAATGAATTACACCAACAATTATAAGTAAACGCCCTTTAGCAACATGAACACCAAATTACCCCTGTAAACAACAACATGAATTGAAAAAGTGCTCTAGATAAGTGATTTGAGCACAGCTTGGCATAACCGTTTGATTTGTGTATTGCAGCACCAGCAGACCTGTGATTCTCAGCATGCCAACAGACCTGCGTATTTAGTTTTGGGATGGAGAAAGATAATGCTCTTTACAGGACCCCACGGACCGAAGCCCTCTTATATGAGATCCGTGATTGTATGTTCAATCTGTACACAAACTTTAGTGGCTCCACCCAGACACATTGGCTGCATATTACACCTGTGTTGACACTGGCAGCACTCCTTTTTTCTCTAGAAAAATGAAAGTTTACTCCACCTAAACACGAATGTACTGCATATCATTCTGTGTCATGCAGGCGTGTACAGTTAATGATGACACGGCTGACACTGATGGATTAGGGGACGTAATGTTCAGTCAAATGCCTGAAACCACGTGACCCATCTTGAACTTGCCATCAACTCGAGCCTGACTTTTTTTTTTTTAAATAAATGCCAAATGTGAAAAAGGACATTTAATTACTTATTCAGTATGTCTGAGAGTTGTTTCCATGTCAATAATGCACGTCTGCAACGATATGACCAATAAATGAGGCATAGTTTTACAAGTTTTTCTACTGAATGTTGCAAAAGTATTACAGGATTTACTAAATGATGGAAAACACTTATGACTCATTAATTCAGTGGAGGCTGACTCAGGAAATTATGAATAATAACCAAACAGACAACATCAAACTGCGTATGTTAATTTGTTTGGCTATAATTCAGCAATATGACACTAGAAAGAGTGCTGAAAAAATAATAAAAAATAAATACAGTATGTAATATGTGTGTACTGTATATATATATATATATATATATATATATATATATATATATATATATATATATATATATATAAAATAAATAAATACATTTCCTTAAAACACTGTAAGATATATATATATATATAATATATATATACTGTATATATATGTACCAAATCAGCATATTACAATGATTTCTGAAGGATGCGACACTGAAGACTGGTGTAATGCTTTTAAAAATTAAAATATTTTACAACAGAAACCAGTTATTTTCAATTGTAATAATATTTCACAGTATTACTGTTTTTAGTATTTTGATCACATAAAATGCAGCCTTGGTGAGATTAAGAGACTACTTTCAAAAACATTAAAAAAACATTATATTTTCCAAATTTCTGATCGGTAGCCTATGTATGAGTATACTGTATATAAGTTATAACCGTTGTAAACAAAGTACAATTTCTTACAGTGTTTTAAGGAAATGTAATTTACTGCGACCTACGGTAGGCCTATTTTGGCAGAACCTATAGTTACCATAGTAAAAAAAAACAAAAAACATTTTTTTTACTGTTTTTTAAGATTTACTGTTTCCCAGGTAGTTGTGTTCCGGTTCTTTCTCAATCATGTTACTATAGTGATTTTGTGTCAGGATGCAAGCGCGCCGGGAGGAGTGTCGCTCCGCGCGGAAGGCAGGAAGCGGCGCGTGGGCAGTGTCACCGCCTGCGTCACACGCCAGGAGGGAGTTTTCCACTGACGAAAAGACTGCGCTGCTCAGCGTCTGCCTCAGACAAGAGGAACAGCTTCAGCTGCTGCTTCAGTACGCCGAGCGCACAATAGCCACACGAACACAACGGGATCTATACACGCTCGATAAACGCTCGGACGTGGCACTTGGATTATTACCGCTTCATATTTTTCTGTATTGTGGTATAGCCTACTAATGCTGATCGGACACCTTATTGGTAAGTAGCGGAGGTCCGCGCTGTTACTATACACTGCACTTGTAATGTGTCTAATAGGCAAAGCACGGTGCTGGAGTCCAGCCAGATAGTTTCAATGTTCTTTTGTCGGCCGGCGTAAACAGATAAAATGTGTTGTGTAACTATTTCAAGTAGCTAAAGAAGGGGAAATTGATGTATGGTACCATGACATGGAACGAACTAACTTAACTTTACATAATTTACCATTTTCTGGCGTTTTCAATGTTAATTAATGTATAGTCTACGTTCTATTTCACTAATAAACTCATACACGATTTATTATTTAAACCCTGATGCTTAAGTGTTGGCTATGTTTAATGTGTATTGTTTGGAGTAGGCTAAATATAAGCGTTTTCTCTGTCAGATTTTAAATGGCTGGGTTTGATTAATAAATAACTCTCATAAGCAGCTGTTGGAGATTCTGATCGGATCCATTGGCAGAATTCCAGCATAGTGGACCGTGTCTGTGTCTGTGTGTGTGTGTATCCGATAAGCCGTAATTGCTGGTTTGGATCTGTGTTCATGTGTTGAGTGCATTCCCCGTTCACGTTTGTAGTGCTGGTGTGTCTTCTGAAGCGCGAGCGACTCCTTAAGGTGCCACACCGCATCATTTCAATAGTGTGCCTGCAGAATCAGATCTGCGCTCAGCCTCATATGCTCTTCCAGTCCTCCGTGACGTCACCGGGGGTGCATGCGAGGCTGAATTCTGGGAGGGAGGGAGACCTTACTTGATCCGATCCAAACTTCAGTTTGTTGACCAATGTTTATGTAATATTTGTTTTTTTTTTAATCACTTTTAGCAAACATCAATAAATGTAAATAATCATTTTACACACATTCTGTCACTGTTAAAAGCAATAAATCTGTCCCCTGGTTGTTTTGTTACTTAAATAATTGATTATTAGCCTAATAGCATATGACAGAAGCTAAAAAAGTCCCCCAGACGCTTTTCATTATTTCGCTGATTGCTGTGATTGACATCAGTCAATCACGAGAGAAGAGGTAACAATCACTGACACGTTGTGCACGGCGTGATTGGAATAACTGACTGCAATTAATGTTCTCATTTCACACGGGTTTGTTAGTTGCTAACTTGTTACATAGTTTGTTATTTGCATTGGATTCTTTTGTGAGAGAGACTAATTCACAGTTCCTGTCTGTAAGCAGGTTGAATGTATGAAAAGGGACGTTATTGCATTCACGTGAGCTCGGATGTAAACTTTAATCCAAGTGTTTCGGAATATTGGTAAATTGTTATTATCTTCTTTGTGTTTTTGTGCCTGTTTCGTTTGAGGCTGTTTATGTTGAGCGAGTCGCGTGACTTTGTTTGATATATTTCACATGCTCACGTTTATTCTTTAATTGACCAAAGTACGTTTTTTTTATTGTGTTTTATATCTTGTTTGTCACTCGAGGTGGTCCACTATTCACGTGAGTTGTTTTTAATTGGAGTGAGTGCACGCTAAACTGATCAAATAGGACCCATAAAAGATAAGCATTATTTATACGTATACTTCTGGGTTGATGAGATGCGAACTTGCACGTGTGCATGGTCTGGGAAATCAGCCCTTGTCTGGGTAGTTTCCTTGCCTTTTTTCATACGAGTCTTTACATGAACACTTTTTAAAGCGATATGATGTAGGCATCATTACAAATGTAGGCTATATTAGCCTACAACATGTCATCTTTTTTTATTAAGTTCACAGACTGGTGTTCCTATTTGGGCTATAGTTCAATGTGTGGCTTTTGTGCACTGGTATTGGGGGAGGTGGTGGTCCTGATGTCTCAAAAACAGAGAAGCAGAGGGATCCCATCTGTTTTGTCACTCTCCAGCATTCCTCCCAGCTTGTGAGGTACCAGTGTGCGACCCAGACATGAGCCGCTGACCCCCGAGCTCCTCCACCCTAGACACGCATGCTCTCCCTTGAGAGACTGGTAAAGATGGCTGATATTTGTTTAGCCACCATTAAGTTATTCATGCTGATGACTTCTCAGGGAAGCTACACTTTGCACACTGTGTTGGAAGTTTGAATTTCGGATATTGATGCAAATTGTTCCCTGTTCAATGGAAATATCTCCTTTCAGTTTTGGCAATTTCCGGAGCAGTCATATTTTCCACTTGTTGACTTAAAACGTGAGGAAAGATTCGCTCAGAACTGTTAAATAACTTTCAGAGGGTGTTTTGAGATGTCTTATTTTGTTATTCCTCTTAATAATCTCAGGGAAGTCAGGGAGTTTTAGATGACACCAACCCCCAAATATGATCGTACTCATGTGAGGAAACCCATTTTAAAACTGAAAAGGCTGCGATATATGTTCATGTCTAAAGACTGTGAAAAAGTAGTTTAAATATAAATTTGTATTTAAAAAAAAAAACTTTTTTTTTTAAACTAAACTAGATGTATTTAAATCTTATTTTAATAATTGTAATAATTTTAATCAGGTATATTTGTTTAGTTTCTTTTTTCAAACATTTATTTTTACTTAATTTTTTTTTTCGCCAAACCTTTCACGGACCCCAGTTTGAAAACCACACGGAAATTTTTGTAGTTATTTAGATACTAAATATAACTTTGGATATCAGTAAACTTGTAATCTGCAGCACAACATGTGATGATTTATGAATCTTGTTTTCTCTGCATACTTCAAATTTTGGTAAAAGTGTGAGGCCATACAGCTATACTTCAACAAATCTTCTTCTCCACCATAATAACATTGATCACTTGTGATGCCCCATCAGGTGTTTTATAGATGTTTTTGTCTGTGAGGTGATTCCTCTAGGGCAATAGTGGTCTCGACTACAGACACATCTGGGATAGATAGAATGTGTCGCCGACGCCGTGCCAGATGAGAATTCCTGTGGGCTGGAGACATTGCATTATTTATATGTTTAAAGTTCTCGCCCGCTACCCTCCTCCCACATCGGTGAACACTCCTATTTGGGATGAATGTGTACTCTGCATGGGTTGAAGCTCAGGAACAGAATGTCTCTGGCGTAGATGAACATCTAGTGATCGGGACAGCACACGGCTCCCTCCTGCCCCTGAGTGCAGTTCTTCGGAGCTGGCCAGCAGGGGGCGACGTTTTCTTTATTTTGGTGAAATTGTGGAATCTGTTTTTGATTCTATTTATCTTGCAGGTGATTTTAGCAGCCACACTTTTGTATATTTTTAGATATTTTAAATGAGGTACATGCTGCTCATTACGTTATCTGGATGGAAGCCGTGAGCTCCAGGGGCAGGCGACTCTCTGGCATAAGGTGATGGGATTCTAACTGTGTGCTTTTCAGACAGGCTGCTTTACAGTGTTGGCTGTTTTTAAGTTTATTTGGAAGCAGGGCGTTGAGTTAAATAAGTATTTTTTTTAATAGAAGCTTTTTTTGTTTAACTCATGCTATACGTTAAACTGCAGTGAGCCCGCAGATAAAGATTCAGTTTCAGCAATCAGCTGCTTTTGTGGCCATTCTCGCTTTCTGTGCGAGATTTATATTTGCCGTCCTTGGTGACAACAGCATTGAGAATTCCTCATCAGTGCACTGCCTTTATTGGAATGGCAGTCCTGCATAATTTATGCTCCAGTGCGAACGTCTCACCTGCTCTGGAAGTCTGGGATACCTCGGCGGTGACAGCTTTTGCTTGGATGTGAAATCCAGACCTGCTCTGTGGCGGATTTATGGGTGGATGGTGCGTTTTGACTTCTCGTTTTTTATTTGCGAAGACTCTCGCTCGTATTTCTAGTCCGCTGATGTTGGAGTGCAACAGGACAAGCTCCAGATTGACCTACAGCTGAGCCCCCCGCATCCCCTCCTCTC